AGAGGAGTATTACACATATTTTAGGGTTAATAGCTTGAGTGATACATATTCACCATTCCAGTGTCTCCAAAGTTCTGGAATCTTTGTTTCTTATTAAAATAAATTATCATTCTCTGAGTGAACTTTCACTTAGAAATAGTGTTCTAGTTTTGGCATCAGTTCTGTGTGGACTATATGAATGGTTCTATACTCTACTGAGAAGTAGTTAGCCATATTAGTCTGAAGTCAGGTAGAAGGCAGGGTAGATTTGCACCTTATAGACTAACCAAAGTGCATACTACTGCCAAGTGGATCACAGAGTTGCTTCTTTTTTATTCTGGAGATTCCTCCAATTCAGAAATGTTATGACTGGGAAGGAAATGTCCAAACCATACAAGTTTCCATGTTTACATATTTGTTAAACTAAATCAAGCCAAGTTAATACCATTCTAAGATGGTAAAGAGCTATGTTAGCTGCCCCCTCCCCCAGTTCTTTCTTACTGAAATAGTGGGTGGATCAGGCATAGATCATTCCAGCATCAGTGCCTCAGGTGTGTTAGTTTATCTTTATTTTTTCCTTCTTTTCTTTAGGCTAATGATGTTAATACCCTGGCTCTAATTTAAGAGGAATTGGGGTTCAAGATTTTTTGTCCAATCACCAGTCTTCTTGCTTGGCAGAGGTTACAGGACTTCTCATTGCTCCATGTACAATACCTTCATCCTGAGGGCTAGAAAGCAATTGGAATTGCTTTCAAGTTCTGCTGACACAGGAAGCATTAGTCTCTCCAGAACATAGTGGTCTATAAATACTTGTAGACCACATCCACCTATGAGTTCTGAAGAGGTTAAAGTCTGTCAACATGTCACTCCACGTGTTAACTTCCTTGACTGTAGCCAAACCAAAGGTACCAGTTTCTAAGACTACAGAAATCACATCTAACTCAACATAAGTGCTTGGTCCAATGTATTTTGGCTGTTATTTAAGAAATCTCAAGGACATGACTGCAAGGGTTCTGTTTCCAGTTCAGTGCACTGAACTGTAGTTATATAATGTTCCAGCCTCAGAAGTGAGAGACCTCAGAACGGGGTGATCATTGAGGCTGAGAACCCTTCTCTGGATCTAAGGCAGGATGCCTATACAGTCAGTGCTGAATTCATCAGTGATAGCCTGATAAAGAACCTGATACTTTTTTGAGATCTCTAGTTCTTGCTAGACTGATGGGTTCATTGGTGACTATGCTATACTGTGTTATTGAGCAGGGGTTCTATATGGCCTGTGGTCTCCTGTGGCCTATGGGTTAGATCCAGTGTGTGAAGCCTGTATACTGGAGGGTAGGGGAGATTTGCACATGCAGTGATGGGGGGGGGGGGGGTTCATGGGGAGGGGGGGGATTTGCATGAGCAGCCGGGGTCAGAAGTACCCACTCAAGGCTCACTGCCAACCCCTACTGTAGAATAGCACCCTCAATTGAAATTATCTTTGATTAATGGAGCCCTTTAGGCTGCATAAGATCTGTTACCTTCTATTGTCTTTAAAGATGGAGGAAAGAGGCATACGGCTGTAGGACACGTTCTTCTTTCTCCTCCAAAGAACAAATAAAAAGCTGTAAGGTTAAGCCTTATATATAGCTACTTGTATATCCCCAGATATATGGGCACCCTCTTTCAGGACTCCTGCTGTCTCAACCTTTTTGATTCTTCATTTATCAAATTGATTGCAGTTACCTTTGGAAACCTCTTCAGATCCACATTCATATCTGGAATCAGATCATGACCAACATTAACACTGTTTCTTGCTATGCTCTCACAGGAAATGAATCAAAAAAGCTAAAGAACATTATTCAGGTGTTTTTTTAGGTCAAGCTCTTTCCTTCCAGTCTTTCAGATGACAAGATCACCTGCATCACCCAGCTATAATGAAGAAAATTCTGCATGGCTATTGAAAGGACAGTGAGATACTTCCTAGGGCAATGTGACCATAATGGCATTCTTGATAGCATTCTCAATAATTCAAAGAGATGGAGAAAGCAAGCCAGGAAGGAAACCACCTCCAGCTAATTTTTAAGACAAGTGTTCTGTAGTGGAAACATCCCATCCAAATCTGCCACTCTCACTGATATTAAGGAGACTACCTTCCTTATGTGTCCCAAACACATTATCTGAAAAAGAACAAGAAAAAAAATCTGTGGAACTTTTAGACATAGATACAGAAGTGAATATTTGAACTTTGCTGGGTGTATCATGATCTTCTTCTCCAGATGTGCTCTATTTTAACTGATAGCAAGGATAGCATTTACCTTAAAGCGTCCCCTCAGTAATCTCGAAGAAAACTACACATCCAGTTTCTAATATTTTGTGTTCACCAGTAAACTTGAAGCCAGCAAAAAATTCTATTCTGCAATTTCTGGAGAATTTTCAACCCCTGCCAGAAGAAATTTGTAAGATTGATATTCCAGTTTCAGAGGTAAAGTACCTATGTTCAGCCTCAATTTTATTCATTTCAAAGAAAGTAGCATTGCCTGCTATCAGGAGAGACAAACCCTATAAACCGCAAGTTAGAGATTCTGGCTTTATCTTCTTCCCTTACACCAACATCTTGGCCTCAAGTTTTACAGAATACATAAGAACCTCAAGCCAACTTTAAACCTACCAGATGTCCATCCTTCATTTGCAAATTATCTCTAAAGTTCCTTAGCTACCTGGGGTTCTCTGTCAAGGGAGAGACTGAGCAGATCATCCAACATGACCAATTTAACACTGCCCCTTTTCCAGCCCCTCTTTTTTACCCTTCATTGTGGATCATTGAAAAAGTTGCTAAGATGAGACTTTCACCAGGCTTTCCAACTACATTTGGGTGCCACACTAGAAGTTCTTTTTGCATTTCAAGGGAAATGATTTTATTTCAGATACTTTTTGATCCAAAGGAATACGGAAAAATTCTGTCCCCCAAACCATGGTTAGTTTAAAATCCAAACCTAAATGTGGTTATTTTAAAACCATATTTTTTCATCAAGAAGTTCAGATTCTCCAGGCTTACCCTAGCCTGACTCATTTCCCTATAAGTGGTTTCAGGCTTAGACTCTGATTCATGGGGGCAGCTTTCAGACATTAAAAAACAAACAACCCACCCCCGCATACTTTACCAGAAGAAGCAGTGCATTCTTCTGGTAAAGAAGAAGTATATAGAGGTCTTGCAGTCCTATCCATTTCATTCTTCTCTTGATGATTCTTATTTTCCTATCTTTTTCTTTATATCCTTGACTTCTCTGTATTGATTTTCCTTTGGCTTCTGTACTGTTACTCACTTACTCCTCCTACTTTTTTTAAACTCCAAATTGTCAAAAGTCTGGTTTTGCTCAACTAGTTTCTCATACCTCCATAACCAATAAATGAATTTAACCTTTCATTATTATTCTGTACTTCAGGTGTTAACATATACCTTATTAATGTGTATTCTGCTATAGAATTATGCTTTAAAATATAAGATAGAAAAGAAACAAACAGGCACTTGTCATCTATATAGCTGAAGTTTTGGCAGTGTCTTAAAGTATGTTAATGCTTTATAGATTCACTTTGCTGTTTTCAAAATAATAAAGCTTCACTGCGTGTAAAGCTTCATAATAGTCATGTTATGTTCACTCTAGTAAAATTACCAAGGTTTCTCCTGTCAATCATTTTCTTTATATTGTTGCCACCAGGGTATTACTAAGCATGTCAATGGCCTCTGGCCTCAAGCTCTTTCCTTGACTTAATCTAGCAGGTGTAAAATTAGGTCACCTCCTTGTACATTGTGGCAATATGCTTTTAATGGGGAGAGCTTAATCTCTGAATTGGTAGCAGTGGCTGTATACAGACATCCTATTTTTACTGGGAGATTTGCCAGTCTCCTGGTAGAAACCACCAGCATACATTCCAGCTTTTTCTCCCAGAACAAAAATGGCCTTTCCAAGAGAAAAAATAACCTGACTGTAGACAGATAAAGTCATTTACAGCAGAGTTTTTCTCCTGGAAGAACGAATGTCTGCACATTTTCCTGCTGCTTAACTCCTGGGAACCAAGAGGAATAGAACCACAGGAGAAGACTCCTGTGCCCTCCAAAGACCAGGGTCACCCTGGTCTGGAGAAGTCACGGGGGAGAACTGTTCTTACTCCTAGAAGGAAGAGGGAGGAGCAGCCACCAGCTTCTCTCTGTTCCTCACACACCAGGGTCCCCAGAGTGAGAAGTGGACAGGGTGTTTTGTCCCCCCCCTGCCCTGTGCCATCCTGCTTATGGGCAATGGGAGCTAAGTGCAGGGAGTAGAATTAGCTCCTGCCTACCTCTCACTCCAGAATTCCCAGAGGGGCAAGCCCCCTGCCTGCTTCTCTCCCAAGTGAGAGGCAAGCAGAGAGCTTTGCCTCATTGCTCCAATCCTTCTGGGAATGGAAGGATGGGAGCAGCCTGCACTTTACGCAGACCAGGATCACCTGGTCTCAGGAAGATGCAAGGAGCAGGGAAGAGGGGGTGTTTGCACTCTACATGTCTGTACTGCTACCCTTCCCAGAATCATTTCTAGAAATGAATGTTTGTGCACATTTGTGAATAGTGTAAGTAACAAACTGGGACTCATAATAAATAATGGTCCTGCAATTTGTTTTGAGTAAACATAGCTGAAATGAAAGTACCTGGTATTACAAAATTTTATTATAATTAATTTAGTATGACTGCATGACTTCTGAATGTTGGACTCCCATGGAATCTTCTATCTCTGGAAACTTCTTAAATATAAGATGGTACTCCCAAGTTTTGGTTTAGAAATATGTTTAAAAAAGCAAGCATGCATTATAGTATTCAACAGTATATTTGGAGTCAGTACTGTAGAGCTCTTTAGCATTTTTTTTAAATTAGGGTGGTCAGAAGGTTAGGATGAGCAGTCTTACTAGTAATGTATTACAGCGTACAAGGTTGATTCTGCTTACAGATGCCTTTTTCTGATATGAACAAAAGTTTTCATGTTGTGCTAAGCTGCATGTGTTCTTCACAGGAGAGGAGCTGTGTACTGGCCTCATATCAGGTTGTTCCTTGGATTGTTCCTTCGGTTTCCAGACTGATGCCCACAACTGTGAGATCTGTCAGTGCCGCCCACGGCCTAAGAAATGCAAACCAATAGTATGTGACAAGTACTGTCCATTTGGATACTTGTACGTATTCTTATTATGAAAGCATATTTATCACAAACCATGTGCATATTTGAAAATATGCAAAGCCCATTCATATTTATTTATGTATGTTTATTTTATGTGTCAGTCATAGAACAGGTTGGGGGGAGAGGGATGTACAGCTCTGATACAGGTGTAAAGTACTCCTTAAACAGACTCAGACATTAGCGGTGAAGTCATGAAAATGCATTTTGATCTCCAGGTTACAAGAAAATTTAAATAATTGAAATAATGACTACCAAAGTTACAATCATAGAAGAGTCATGTAACATAGAAGTTACATGAAAAGTAATTTAAAGCTGTTTTAATAGTGAGTTTAAAAATCTGCAAAAAACCTACTTTTCATGTAGCTTTTAAAACTCTTTTTCCACTTAAAGCTCTTGATATCCCTTCATCTTATAATCCATTTCTTTTGTTCAGTTGATCCTGTAGTATTTTGAACGGATCTTTTTATTACGACATGACAATAATCTTTCTGCCAGTTACTTCCTAATACTTAAGAAAAGCCTCACTGCCTTTTGGCAGAGGCAAGTTTTTCTAAATGGCATCAAGACTTATAATATTATAAGTTTCCCTCTTCCTTAAAAAGCAGTGGGCGTTTATACACATGCTCCAGGAGTCGGGGGAAGGCACTTTAATTAGAACGTCTCCAAGACCTGGAGCATCACATGTAAAGCCCCTAAAGCCCCTGGAGCATCGTATGTATCAACGTCCCCTCACTGAAAAATGGTGGCGGGGTGCTTTAACTAAAGCTCATTGAACAAACTTTAGTTAAAATGCTCCCACCACCATTTTTCAGCAAAGGGACACTGATGCATGTGACGCTAAAGCAGACTTGAGTAACTGAGTCTCCTCCAATGTGCTATGATAGAGCAGCCTCGCTGCATGTGTGTAGGTGCCCAATGATACTGGATAGACTTCTTTTTTTCGGTTTGTGTTTTTTTTGTTCGGTTGGTTGGGTTTTTTTTGAATACATAAGTATAGCAGAGAGAGGATCCTAAAGCAAATTCTTTGGTACATAGCAATTTCTTCAGTACCAATTCATAGGATATAGACAAAAACACCCCAACTTTACTGATTTAAAAGGGGGAGGGACTTATCACATTTCAGATTGATCCACTGTAACTGCTTTGTCTTTTGCATGTTAAGTGGGAGCTAAACCACATTAAGTTACTACCCGTTTCATTTAGGGGTAAATTATTGTGGTTTAGCTTAATTTTTAGTGTGGGATAGAAGTGGACATATGAAACAGTGGGTCAGCTTATATGTACTTCCAGGCGGAATTATTCTCCCCCTCCCCTCTTAAACTAGTAAAAATGTCTTGTGCATCTGATTTGGTGGCCTTCAATGAAGGCTCAATAGATATCCAGAATGATTGTGCCACTTTACAATAACAACATATATTTAATGTTTTGAGTGGAGCAGTATTATGGTATTGTCTCTCTTTCTTAAAGTTGAACCCAAAATAACTGATGTTTAGATGTTGTTGTTGTTGTTGTTGTTGTCATCATCATCATACTGTCCTTTCTAAGATTATTTATCCTGTTTACTACCACTTTGGTAGTGTATATTTATACTTCTTTAGTCTGGCCAATTCCTGAGTTTCCTTGTGGTTGAATGTGATGCGAGTTCTTTCACCTTGTGCCTACTCTAGTGATAATATACAATATAATATAGTTCCTTCCTATTTCATGGCTTCTGTAATTTTTAATTAATATATAGAAGAGGCTAACTGGTCCAAAGATTTGAGAACTCAGAGACTTTAAGAGAAATGGAGGTGAAATTATATCAGACTGTGGCAGCAGAGAACTCCACAAAACTTCTACAACTGTAGGGATTGCTGGTGCTAATGACCAGATCCCTGCCACTCTAGTTAGTGTTGTCAGATGAACGAGAGATCACTGCCACTCTAGTTAGTGTTGTCAGATGAACGCTCAGGTGTATACCAGCCTCCGGCTTCCATTTATGCTTATACCATGGGCTGTCTTTTTTCCCCTCAAACTCAAACACTGAGTTGTACTACATTTATATGAATGCATCAGTCCAGCTGTCCACTTCATCAGCATGTAGATAGCTTTGTCGGTGTACATGGCTCTGTTCAAAAGGTGGACTGTGCTGGATATAACACAGATATGTGCCCTGTGGAACATGGATTCTAAAGGCACAGCAGTTGCATATGTAGTACAATACAGATCCAAAAAAGTCTTTCACAGGATATATAATATTTATTTTATTTTTGAGGATTTCTAATTATACTCAAAAGGATATCCTTATGTTTTACACACCACAGATATAACTTAAAAGGACCCCCCTCCCCCAAATCATTCCAGCATAACTGAAGTGCAGTAATACCATTCCAGCATAACCCCTAATTCATTGATTTAAAAGATCAGTCAATTTTCAGTAATTTTTGAAGGAAAGTAGGAATGGAACAGAACAATTTAAGTGAGAGGTACTTACAAGTAAATACGAGCAATATAGAAGATAAGAAATCTAGATTGGATGAAACAGACAAAAGCTGCAGCTAACCAAAAATATAGGAAAAGGATGGGTAGAAGGGATGTAATCAGGGTGAGGGTTGTCATACTGAAGAAGAGGGAAACTATTACAAAGATGCAAGTAGTGGTCTTCATTCCAAGCCAGGTGTGCCATTTGGGTAGTATGTACAAGGGCACTCCATTTTCTGTAGCCAATGGCATAAGAAGAGGGATCATGCACCTGTCATCATGTCCAGCCATTCTTGACTTGCCAACCAAAAAAACACATTCCCATTTGCAATTAGGTCATCTGATGGCAGTCCTTGGCCTGAGTCCAGAGCAAGGCTCAGTGTCATGCCTCTGTGTCTGGAGCAAGATACCTATCACCACACCTATTGACAAGGGAGAAACAGTGTCAAAGGGTGAATATATTCATGACAGCTGTCTTTTGATGGGCTGGGAAGTGAAAAGTGAGTGAGGAGATTACACTAGATGCAGGGACAAATTTCCAGGACAAGGCTTGGGTGTAGATACGAGGGAAGCAGTTGAGAAAGGAAGGAAAATCGGATTTTAGGAAGACTGCATTAAAATCAGATAAAGAGAAAAACAAAAATAATATTAAGATTGCAAAATTCAGAGATAGGCAAAATGTGTTTGGTATTATTAGATAAAGGGAGAAAAACACAGGCCTGTATGGAATTCTAATAAACTCAGTATTAGACATAATGGCTTTGCTAGTGGGAAGGAATTATCATTTTTTACTATTAGAATAATACATAAAGATGTAAGGGGAAAAAAAGCAGGACAGGCATTACTGACTAGGGGTACTGGTTAAGTCTTTGAAGCAATTGGCAGGACACTGGGCAAAGACACTGAAGGGATACTTGAATTTTGGTAGAAGATTGAAACAAACTCAAAGATGGAAAAGAGGTAACAGAGGTTAGAAGTCTCAATCATTTAGACAGAATAAGTGTAAAGTAGTACTGAATCCAAGAGAACAACAACAGCATTTTTATTAGAGGATCTCCAAAAGGGAATTTACATCCCTGTAAGAAGCAGAACTGGGAACCATAAGAGCAAATGGGTAGTCAGAGAGAAGGGCAAATGTTTTGGTGGTACAGGGGTTGAACTGTGTAGCTGTAAGAGTTTGATAGTGAAACAGTAGGAGAGAGGATTGGAAAAATCAAGAAGGAACAAAGAAATTGGTGAACTGGACATCTCAAAAGGTAGAGAAGGTAGAGCAGTGAGTTGAAACTGTAAGTAGTGATAATGAAGGAACAGAATTTTTTTCTGCTTTCATAAGAACATCTAAATTAAAGATGCTACAGAGAGTAACCATAGTTTCCACAACTGGTGCCACAAGCGCTCATGGAGCAGTAAAATAATTCTCAACATCTGATATTTGACACTTTTCTTTATCTCTTAATCCTAATATTTCCAATATACAAATGTAACAATAATCCAACAGCATATCAACATTTTAAAAAATCTTAACATTACCATGAATGAAAGCCAACAGGTTGTGTTGCATTGCTATTCAAAGTAAAACGTTTGCTCTTTTTCTTTGTTGTAGCATAGAAAATGTCTTCAGTAGGAGTGCAGGGAAAGATGCTCAGCATCTAAAACTTTTGGACCTGATTATATGAACATTTCTTTTTATTTACATTTTCACCTGCAGAGTTTACATACTATTATCCATTTTAGCATATGGTCATTGACACTTATTAAGAATTTGTAATTAGTTATAAAATCTACATAATAATGTAAATTTGATATCTTTATTTAAAGGATGAACCCAAGGTTGTTAGACTTTGTTTTAACAACTACCCTGTAGTAGTAGTAGTAAGTTTGTAACATTGCAGCGATATTAAAAGATCAAACATAATGCCCAGGTTATAGAAGTGTGAGCTAGACGTACAGAGGGCTAGGAAGGTGTAAGCTACTTATGCATTTTACGTAGTTTGCTTACAGTGCAGAACTCAAATTGGAAGCATAAGTGCTTTTTAATTCAGTACTGTACCAATGTAATTAATGTAAAAATTACACTGTGGGATAACTGCTAAGATAAGGTCATTATCTTTTAAGCCCCTTAGTGGGAGAACAGGAGGTAGGCTTAAGTATGAATTTAACTACCTTCCTCAGTCAAATTGTAAATACTCTCTTTTTTTCCAGTTGACTCTCTTTCTTGACTTTTCTATGGAGTATATATGGCAATCAAATTAGCTTTTCTTTCTATTTCCTTTCCTTTATAAATAATACTACCTTCAATTCAATTCATTTCACTAGTAATTATAGCTTGTGTCTTACGTAGTATCTAAAACAGTGTCATTCCTCCTGGAAATGTTTATCATTTTGTTTTGGTTTTGGTTTTGAAATAGCACGTATTACACTTATTATTTACTTATGTTTACTTTTTGTTCTATATTCACACACTAAGTTTAGCATTGTTTTGTTGTTATTGTTAGAGTTACTGAATACCTTTTTCCACCAAAATAAATTTGGGAA